TCCCATCGGCCGGTACGCTCCCACAGAGTGGGTCTCCTCAGGGTGCCGTCAGCCAGACAGTGCCGGCTGGCGACCCCCAGGGGGAGGGCCTTCTCGGTGGGAGCTCCCACCCTATGGAACGAACTACCCCCAGAGATCAGGGTGATCCCGGATCTCCCTTCCTTCCGCCGCGCCCTCAAGACATGGCTATTTAAGCTGGAAGGACTGGCCTAAGGGGTATTTTTAGTTGGGTTTTAAAACAATTTTTAAAATAACAAAGGCCAAATTAATATTTCCTTTTAATTACGTTTTAATGGTAGTATTTTTGTACTTTTGTATTTGTTTTTATTAGGCTGTTAGCCACCCTGAGTCTGCAAGGAGAAGGGCGGGGTAAAAATATAATAAATAAATAAATAAATAAATAAATAAATAATATATGAGTATCAGCCATCCTTAAAATATACAGCCCTCCTCCCTCTACACCTCCTTTATTAGTCTACCGGGGGAGGGGGGTTATGAAATAAATATATAACAAATATATATTGGTTCAAACTGTTGCATGGGATCAAAAAAAAAATAGGTGAAATTGTGTAAATGGGTTGTTTTGTGAGACCATAGCCTGTATATTATTTGCATGGGATTTCTTTTTTGGTTCATATTTTTCTGCCTCATGTTTCCCCAAAGTAAGAGAGAGCAGGAATAACAGATGAAACAAATATATCTCTGAGTTGTTATATCTTGCTTCTAAATATTTCCTAGAGGCTCCTTGAGATATTTAGAATGAGCACTCCCCCACCTCCTCAAAAAAGACCCAAAAGCAATCATTTTATTTTCACAACAAGCAACTGGGGAATTGCCTTTTATTACCCTAATCATCTTGTTAGTCAGGCACAGATCAAGCTCTCTGGGCTGACCTCATTGGTTCTCATCCCTAGCTTGTAACCAAAAAAGACAGGATTCAACACACACACACACACACACTTTTACACACCTATGACCAAATACAAACAAGCAGTTGTAGAAAGGCATTCATTTTTCACAGGTTTTACTGTAATTACAATTGAATATAGATCTGTTTTATGGCGGAAGTGGGAATATTTTCCATATTTAATGCAATTTAATACAATACCCTTTTAATTACAACCAGAAACATGAAGGAACTAGACAATTTACTATGCATTCCTTATAAAATTACAAAGTTGGATATATCTGGAAATATATGTAGGATCCCTTTAATATCCATTGTGCCAGGAGACTTATTAGCCACAGGAATAAAGGGGATAAGATCACAGAGGTTAAAAATACTGTAACAACAGAACAGCCATTGCTGACATTTGTAGTTTCTGTGAAACCATTAAAATATTATTTCTTTCTTCTGACTCCAAGAGAGGAGATAATTAAGTCAGTGATTGTACTGCAGGCTGTGGAACATGCTCAGAATTATAGTCTCTCCAAATTTTCAAAGCTTAACATTTTAGCTTTTCTCTAACTAACAAAATTGTAGTCCTGTGAACAGAGGAACAAATTTTAAAATTGTTTGTTTTTAAAAACAGAAAACAAACTTTCATAGATGGGTTTCAAATTTTCAGTATGGCCATATGAGCCAATTATTTTTGTTATAGTCTCCTTATCTTCTGAACATTTTTCATCATGAAGATGTGATTGTAGAAAAATCAGAGTCACACAAAAACTTTACCAGATATCTATATTAGAACCAAAAAGTTACCCTTCACTTTGGTAAATGAAATTAAACTCCATTTTCAAAATTGATTTTTTTTTCTCGTCCAAAAGTATGAGTCTTAGTTGAGGGGAATTCCAGAATAATGCAAATCCAGAGTATTCAAATATCTATAATGATAGTGTTTACAATGCTGTTGTGATGGATGACATATACTAAGCATTATTATTATATGGGGAAAATACAATAGTTAACCCTGTGATTTCTCTTGCACAGCCTGCAGGGTTTCAGTGGAGCAGAAAAGTAAAGATGTTATAATAGATAGGAAGATTCTCTGAAGGTCCACCACTGAATACATTCAACATGCAACAGTGCCAACAGCAGCATGTTTATAAATATTTGTTGAAATAATTTGTATCATCTTGATAACGTGCCACAATGGGGTAGTTATCAAGAAGTAGAAAGATCCAGGCTCAGATAAATCTACCTTTAGCTGCTGATTCTCACTAGTTGATATTGGAATAGTCACCCTATCTCAGCCTAACTTAACTTTCCAAGTTGATGTGTGGAGAAAAATGGAAGGAAGGAACACTTATGCACTCTGCCTTATACTTACAACAGGAAAGAAGACCCATGTCTAGCCAATAAATAAATAATGGAATGAGCCACGGTGGCACAAATGATTAGAATGCAGTATTGCAGGCTAACTCACTGCTCACTGCCAGGAGTTCGATCCTGACTGGCTCAAGTCTTCCATTCTTCTGAGACTGGTAAAATGGGGACCCAGATTGTTGGGGGCAATATGCTGACTCTGTAAACCACTTAGAGAGGGCTGTAAAGCGCTATGAAGTGGCATATAAGTCTAAGTGTATTACTATTCCTAACCTAACATTACCAAAACAGTTCATTTAAACCCATTTACTGTGCACAGATGCTATGGATGACCACATCATTATTCATCATGTATCGTACAGTAGAGTTGAAATGAATAAAATGGGTATGAACTGTTTAGACTTTGCTATGAAAAGCAAGGAAACTACTTATGTGATATGAATTTGATTCCAGGGCCTGATAGGGAAAGAAATAAGGATGCTTTGGTACAAAGAAGGAAGATGGGGGCTTCTTACCAAACAAAGTGAAGTCTGAAAGGAAATCATGGAATTGGAATACTTCTAAAAGGAAGGAGAGGCTATTCTATGGGGTAGAAAGGAAGAAACAAAACTTTGCGCTTGTGAAAAATGAATAAAAGTTATGAGTGCAAAGTGACAGGTTCTCCACCACACACAGACTCACTTTATGACTAGAGAAAAGTAAGAAAGCAAGTAAGACAGAGAAGCAGGAGGTAACTCTGATTAGTTAGGGAAAATCAAGACCAAAGGGATGAGAAGCACCAGGGTCAACTGGGAATGGACTGTGTCCAGCTGAGCTGTAGAGCAAGGTGAGCTGACTGGATCTGAGAAAGCTGGCAAAGAGGAAGTGCAAGAGGAATCAAACACACACAAGGCCAGGAGAAGGGGAGGGAGAAACTGCTCTGTGAGATGTCGTGCAAAGCAACTACAAGTGGTCCTTGACTTACGATTATAATTAAGCCCCAAATTTCCACTGTAGGTTGTGAAGGCACCCATGTAACCAGCCCAATTTTCTGACCCTTTTTTTGACA